AGGCTGCGCTGGGCCTTTCCCAAGAAGCTTCCGGTAGGCCCCGGTAGACTGAGGACCAGACCAAACGAATTGGCCCAGGGCTGCCGACAGTTACCTGTGCCCAACTGCCCACAATTCTGAGTTGGGCCTATGTTGCAAATCTCGCCCAGGGCCTGACTCAGATGCATTTGATAAAGGAAGTCAAGGCCTGGGCACTTCCAACCAACTGGCGCAGCGCAACTGCCTGAATTTCCCCAGTTGCGAAGTAGTCCAAAATAGGCCTCTGAGGGTCTGTTGGGCCTGCCTTCACTTAGGGTGGCCGACGCTGTTGCAAATAGGGCCCAGTGGGGCTTATCGAGGCCTTGTGCCTCGCACGACGCTCTTTTCATACTTTTTCATCTATACCTATTTTTAACCAAGGTTTGCCTTCAGCTATCCCTAGGTGTTCCGAGTATGGCCGCCTACCTCTACCTCTTCCCCTTGTGGAGTAGGAACCTCTTCCACCTTGCGAGGGACCATTACCCCTACCTCCCACATAGTAGCTACCTTCGCCACTACCCCTCTGGGCGGTGGGTCCTCTTCCTCCACCTCGACAGTGGATTCCTTTTCCTCTACCACAACCTCTTCCTCCTTGTCGCCCTCCCCCGCGGGCTGCAACAGCCGCATAGTCCCCTCCCTGGCTAAGTGACTATTGCTGTCTTCTTCCAACGCATAATCTATTTGGTCATAGGTAAGTGACTCTACTCCTCCTTCTTCGAAGGTGACCAGTAGGTTATCTTTGCCTGCTATATTACCTGAAATTGTTCGGTCTTTTCACTTATTTCTTGCCTGCAGGTCTTTCCAGTAACGGCAGTACTGTGCTTCCTGTAGGAACCCAATATGATCTATTGCGATCTTGCTAAATTTCTCATAGGTCATCCCCTCTTCTTTATTGCGGGGATATGGTTGTGTTTTTAGGGGATCTGGGAGCGCTCTAGCAAAGTTATTTAGGATATGTGTCAATGTCAATCCGTGATCTGGGCATTGCAACAGTTCATCCATCGTGGCCTTGAGGGCTGACACACTCTTCTATTTACGGTCACTTGTGTTGAGGATCAAGGATTTTGTTTTACGGGCCAGATTCTTATCTTCAAATCTCTCTCTCAGGGCCTTAAAGAAGTCCTCAATACTCGTACGCTGTGAATAATGAACCATGGTAGTGCATCCAGCCTCTTTCATCAAGGAGATGGCAAAGCTAATGGCATCCCCTGCCATACATGAACTTGCCATCAAAACGTGGTCCCAATACAAAATCTTTTGTGCATATAGATAAATATCCATAGCGGCTTCCCAGTGGAAGATACTCTCTTCCTTTTTCCCATTGTAAGTCCATGATAACTTCACCTTCATCTTCTGCCTGGATTCCTCCGCTTCGCCATCCTTCTCTTTCTTGACACCCTTTCCTTTCCTGTCCCCATCATCTCCATCATCGCCTCCATCTCCTCCCCCGCCTCCAATCTTCAACTTTCTTACCACGACAGGGTCGGTCAACCTTTTGACGAGGGCTTTATCTAATTGGTCAACGTACTCATAGATACGATGATCATCTGTTCGGAGCCACTACGCAGGAAATTATTCCATATTCCTTCGAATTCCCCTTGGTGCAACTTCATCCGAGTCACAGTCTGATTGAGTGCAGCCAGTTCGTTGTTAGTGTGGAGGAGTGTGTCAGTTAGAAGGGAGAGTCTCTCATCTGTGGCAGCCTGTTTTCCTTTTTGTTCTTGCAGCAGCTTCTGCAGCCTTTCCCCCTCCTCTTTCATCCTTTTTTTTGGTTTTACTCCTGTCTTTTTGCCGCCACCATCTTATTGTTCAATTCTGCCTTCTTCTCTTTCAGCAGTAAATTCTTCTCCATCTCATCTGCTGCAGAGGCCAGCTTAATTATAAAGGCATTTTTCTCCTACTCTGTCTCTTCCGGAAACTCTGTCCAGTAACCGAACTGCGCAATCCAATTCAGCGCCTCCTGCTGTTGACTACGAATTGCCCCAGCCTGACTGCCCTTAGCCTTCTCTTCTTGAAGCTGGGTTCTCCTCCTCTCCAGCCTGTCTCCCTCATCTTTTTCTTTTTCTTCTTCTTCTTCTTCTTCTTCTTCTTCTTCTTCTTCTTCTTCTTTCTTCTTCTTCTTTCGACTCCTCCAACATTTTTCCTCCTTCTCCTTCATCTCCTTCTCCATCTTTTCTTTCTCTTCCAACTTCTTTTTCACTTCCTCCTCCTTTCTTTTCTTCTCCTCCTTTTCTTTTTTCTTCTTAGCGAGGTGGCGATCTATCTCTGCCTGCTCCTCAGCTGTACTCGCTTGTGTTGACTTCCCAGACCTTAACACCGCATGTGAACGGAAAGTCAGTTGGAGGAAGATGAAGCGAAGAAGGGAGCCCCAGAGCACAGACAGGGCCAGAAGTGAGAACATGGGGTAGTCGTCCATGGTGTCTAGAAGCACAGGTAAGCAGCCTCCACCTCCTGACCACTTAGACTTAACCCCAACTGCTAATTACTAACTCCTGAGTGGGTCGGACTGTTGCTGACTGCCGTGAACCTTCCCTGGACTATATATGTTTTTTTTTTTTTTTTACGATTGGACTGGTTGCTAGACTCTAAGCAAATCAACTATGTCACGAGGTTTGGACCAGCCCAGCAGCAGCGACAATAGGATGAGGGAGGTACCAAACACCAAGACAAATCAGCAAGCAATACAGGTTTAATGGTGGGGATGCAGTTCACTCTAAGGGACGTTTCGTTGATGAAGCTCCTCAGCCGCTCCAATGCTTCAACGCAGCAGCAACAGGTACGTAATCACCTCTCAACAGGCCACTTCTTCTTCGGCCTACTTATTTCCCCTTCCCCACTCGTCTGCAATGACTTGCTGATTTCTGCTGCCGAGATCTGACTGCGAGGTTGTATAGTCATGTCTTAGGGTCAGATTCGTAATTTTGTTTGTGTCAGGGACTAACCGCCGGTCTAGTCCTGAGGGAAATTCGTGAGGGACATATCTGCAATTTACACGAAAATTGCAGGCCCGAGTTCCCCTTAGCCGTTACGGCCCTTAGCAGACCCGGGCTATCACTAGGACAGCAGGCCCATCTGGGCCTTGGGCTGTAGAGGCGGGTTAGACGCCGTATAGCCGGGTACGGCCCAGGCCGAACAGGCAAAACTGATGCGGTACCGGTCCAGTAGTCAGTGGTGTGGCAGCCATAGCTGTCATCTTCTTCGTCAGAGTGACTCATCGGCACGGAAGACTTCATCGCGATTCATGTTCTTCATCTGGATGTTTGGCGCTGGCCTCTGGGAGGCGGATTCAGTGTTGCGCTACTAACTGGGTGTGGAATAGAGAGTGGTGTGTGGAGTTCTGAGGGTGGCGAGACACTGGGATAAACTCTGTAACGATTATTGGTTTGAGTTGGCTCATCAGCAGTGTGATTCCGATTGTTATCCTCGCAGGTGTCTTCTTGTGATTGGTTGTTGGGAGTCTGTCAGAGAGTGAGAATCACTGTGTCTCTCCCCATCTGTGCATGGTTGAATTCTGCTGCTTATCCTTGTCTGTGTGCAGTTTGGACTCTGTCTCCTCTCCCCTTTGTCTGGTATGTGTATGGGCGGGTGTCAGACACTCTGTGTGTGAGTGGCAAAATCGTCAGACAACCAAGTTCATAACACGTCAGTCTTCTCCCCACTCAACTCTCGTTCATATCTCGCCGGCCTTGATCATTGCCAGCGATGCCCAGTGGGTGCAGCGAGCAACTGCTCCGATACCAGTTTGCAACGAAACTCTTAGTTCAATCACCAGTGAGCGCACACCATCACACCACATGCATGTATGAGTTCAGACGAAATTCACACTGGAGACCAGAGAGATTATGACCAGGTAACGCAGCTTATGAATTCCAACAAGTTATTACAAGAGCAATAAGAGTTCAAGTCACCAGCGCTCATCAGTGCATGCCAAAGGTAACCAGTAACCAGCATAAGCTCTCAGGTAAGTATGTCTTCCCCACTGCTCTTCTCTCTTATGTATCTCTCCTCCTCGCTGGTCTTCTCCCTAGCTATGTCCTCGCTGTGTCTTCTCTCCCTACATGCCTGCACACTCAATAACTTCTATTCAAGGATCTACTCTGAATACACCCACTGATATGTCTACTAACCCTATGTAGTCTTGGATTGCACTTCAACTCGTGCCAGCCTCTGCTTCTTGGGACGTGACTGGGTTCCGGTACCACATCCCCACGGCCTGTCTGCTTCCGAATGTCAAGGCCTGGAACCTTCCCGAATTTCCATTGGTCTGCTGCTGCTTTGGCCTTTGAGTCATGACTTTTCAATTTTGGCATATGGATTTGACTGTGGATTGTGACTCCTGCCTCTGGGACACGACTCTTGCCTGTGGAACTGCCCTTTTACTCGTGGGATGTGACTCTTCAATATGACTTTCCATTATGAAACGTGATTCTTGCCCCTAAGATGTGACTGTTTGCTGGTGCCTGTTGGATTGGACTGCTGAGGTACTCGATTGTGATTTTTCTGAATTTGACTATTTCGGCCTTTCTTGGCCAGGGCCTCTGACCCTGTGTGACCGGAATTTGGGGTCTGAATAGCTGAAAGTTGGTATGTGTACACTGTACAGAAATAACAACAATAAATATGGCAGTGTATCTTCCCATGTTCTAGCGGAAGATTCATTCTCATTGTGCTCATTTGGTGAGTAGTGGAGCGAGGCCCAATGCCAACATCAATCGAATGAACGGAAAGATTCATTGTTATCATTGAATGAACGAATGAACGAATGAACAAACCAACGAACGAAAGAATGAACGAATGAACGAATGAACGAATGAACAAACCAACGAACGAAAGAATGAACGAACGAACGAAAGAAAGAAAGAAAGAAAGGAAAGAGTGAACAAAGGAATGAAAGAAAGAGCAAAAGGACACATGCTCTTGAATTATGACAACAGCTCTCACGGACGGCATTGTCCTTGGTTGGCGGCATGTTGAATAGTCAGTGAAGCACAGTGGAGATGGAGTCGACATCATCACCATCTTCTTCAGCATGTGAGGAGTTGCCGGTTCCATTTGTCTACTTCCTGCACCAATTTAGGAACAGATGATGTCAAATGTCAGGGAAGCAGCAAGTGGGGAGCATGCAGACTGAGAGGAAGTCCCTCACCAGAAGGACGACCGGGTCGTCAAGCTTGGAGTTTCGTAGGATCAGGCACACAGGACGTTTTACAATGCAGCAGAGGGACGTTCAAAGTCAGCGTGCAGCAGGCTGAGGCTAAGAGTGCTGAAGAATTTTCACCCAGTGAGGATGAATGCAAGGGGGTTACAGAGACTGGGGTGAGCATCATAATTATTGTTCGTTGTTATCCCTACCTTATGCCAAATAGTTGGGAGCCTTGTGAATGCACCTCTGTGTGTGTGTGTGTGTGTGTGTGTGTGTGTGTGTGTGTGTGTGTGTGTGTGTGTGTGTGTGTGTGTGTGTGTGCTTGC